GTAAAGCCACCTTTATTTTTAATATTACCCCAGTATGCCTCACCTCCACATTTCTGTAGTGTTCTGTAAGAGTCCCTATGTACTTGTTCTTCAATGGAATGTCCAAAGTTTATTGTTGCCTTTTTATTATTATTAATTTTAATTTAATTTTATTTAACTTTCTGGGTTAAGTTCAGCCTCAGTTCGGGCTGGAACTGCTGCTTAGATGCCTATAGGTTTGGCAATGGCTCAGTTACCACCCTGGGCTTTTCTGTCTCCTTTGTCCTCCCCGTACCCCCTTGCCCATTTCTCTCTTTTCCTTTCAACTTGGTTCTCTGTTGTTGGTGCAAGTCCCTGAAGTTGTTCGTGTTATTAAACCAGATTTTTGGAGACCAGCCTGGGAGAGAGAAGGAATGAACGAGAATGGATAGAGAACAAATCTGTGAGACCAAGGCAGGGGTCAGGGGTAATGGGGCACACCTAGAGGCATGTGTTCCAAAGTCACAGTGGAAAGTATATTGATGGTGTTTCCTGCATTTTTCACTATCGCCCTTTCTCTCCATCCCTGAACTCTCAATAGAGAGTTTACTGTTTTAAATACATGCATATATAATCAAGATACATAATACATATAATGTGCATCTGTAAATACTTTCGTGTACAATAAATACTATGGTGCCCAGAAAGCCTTGGATCTCCTTTTGAACTAGGGAAAAGGAACGGATGCAGACTTCCCTGGAGAATGAGCATTGTGAGAGTTGGGGGCATTTTTTTTTTTTAAATGTGGCTCCACTTCCGGTTTTAACTTGTTGATAAGCCACCACATTTCAACAGTAATCCCCTTTCTGGCATAATTAATAGAAAATTAGTTTCTAAAAGTTAAAATTGGGTCAGAAATGGAGATGATTAAAATGTACAGTTGCAAAAGCCCGACCTCGCAAACCCCATTTATGCAACCCAGCTCCAGAATGTTTTTGAGTGCTCACTGACTCACCGAGCTTCCTCCTCTGGCTGGTTCAGAGTAGGCAAGAGGTTAGCCGACTCGGGGAAATTAAAACAATGTTGTACATTATATTGGTACCAGCCATCGGAAAGCCTATTTGGTATGCAAGACAGCAATGCCGAGATATATGGAGAGCCCTAGGCTAAGTACAGAAGATAATTACATTTGGAATTTTACTGAGTTAAGTCATTTACGGCTTCAAATAGTTGCAGAGAAAAATCAGCCCAAACACACTTAAACTTTTTTGTTGTGACTTTTCAAGATAGAAAGGATTTAAAAAAAAAAAAAAACTAGTTATCATCGTATATGAGAAATTGCATTTTTTGTAGAATTTTCCTCAAAAGTTATTGTCCCGAGCTTGTTAATATTTTCCATTCGAACTATTAAGTATAAACTTATTAGGACAATTACATGTTTATGCAAGGAAAGAGTACATCATTAAAGCCTCCAATTTACATATAAGTCTTTGGAAACATCTTTAAATTCAACATGTTTTTTGGAGAAGATAAAGTGGTAGGTTTAACATCATCTACAAATATAGTCAGAGCACAGTAAGCCCTTGAGCCCATGGCTCTTTGTGAGTTTGTTTTTTTTTTTAGTTGGTCATGATGCTTGAATTCAGGGCCTGGGCACTGTCCTGAGCTTTTTTGCTCAAAGTTAGCAACTCTACCACTTTGAGCCACAGTGCCACTTCCAGTTTTCTAGTGGTTAATTGGAGATAAAAGTCTCAGGGATTTTCCTGCCTGGGCTGGCTTCAAACCTGGATCCTATGATCTCAGTCTCCTAAGTAGTTAGGATTACAGGCATGAACCACACACCCAACCAACTCATGGCCCTTGCTCTGTGGGTATGCAGATAATGGGAGTGGTATTTATAAAGCAATGCATGCTTTTGTATTTATTTATTGGATTTAACATTAAGTTCTCAGAATTAACTTGAATAAATTGTTTAGCAGAGTTGGCAGGATTTTCCAAGGTATACTAGGCTAGGATTTGCCCAGGATCTGAGTACCTATCTTAGTAATTTTTGTTTATTCTTCACAAAGGTGAGAGGAAACAGAGGTGTGAGTCCATCAGCAAGTCAGGATTAGTCAGGCAGCTTTGCTGAAGTTTTTTAGTGGGTGTGGCCTGGAAGGAGAATAAATTGATAGGCTGACACAGGAGCATTCCTCGATTATTTGTGTCACTCATGTATTCACAGATTTCATCATTAATCAGAACTAAGGCAGGTTGTCCAAGAGATGATAGAAAATAAAGATGATACGATCACAAGTCACGATGTAGTACTTACCTGCAATGCTTCTCACAGTACTTTTTTATACTTCTTGCTTGATAGTTGTTCTAGTAGGAGACAGAACTGGCTTGTTCTGCTGGGTTCCACATCTTCTCATCCTGAAAGACTTGGTATCAGTAATAGTGTTTAGCAAGTGTTTAGGAAGAGTTAGTAAACAGTGCCAGATATGGGCTGAGAAAAATTTTGAATACTAGTTGGGATAAAGCAACAAAAGAAGAGTAACGTTCCATGATAAATGAAAATTATGTGAAATTCAGATTTCATTGTCCATATAGCAAGTTATATTGAAACACGGCTGTGCCCTTGCCGATTCATTTACTAATGATCTATGATTGTTTTCACACTAAAATGGCAGAGATGGGTATTTGCACCAGTTTCCCCGTTATACCCTGCAAAGCTGAAAATACTTAGGATCTGGCTTTTATGGAAGTTTTCCAAACAACCCCTGGTAAGGAGGGAGAAAGAAAAGAAACAATCTGAATGACATTATTGGCCAGTTGTTTCCTTTAAGTTTCTGGCTGTCCAAAGTATCTCTGGCCCCTTCAGGCCTCTGCCTTCTTACTCATGATATCTACAACCTGTCCAGGGACCACATTGTCAGGTAACTCACCAGCAGCCTCCTGTGACAGGGCCTGCCAATCTTGGGGCCTGTAGAAGGCTGGCCCAGGGCTATACATTCATTTCATGTAGAAAACATTTTCCAAGGAGCTATTACATAGAAGAGGCTTGCTGAGTCACCAGAAAGGATCATAGTGATTCAGGGAATAAAGCCTCTTTCATTCAAGAAACATGGTCCTCAACATGGTTTTACAGTGGAACTGTCCATTTGTTTAGTTGGTGCTAGCTGACACCAGTGGATTCATTAAAAAAAAAATTTTTTTTTAAAGCCTAAGAGGGTCAATCCTAGAAAGCAACTGAGGATTAACAGATGTTAATCATTCGTGTTTGTGGGTCCTTTTTGTCATTTTGTTTTTTTTTATTGGTCGGTCATAGGGCTTGAACTCCAGGCTGGTCACTGCCCCTGAGCTCTTTTGCTCAAGGCAAGTACTCTACTGCTTTGAGCTGCAACACCACTTCCCATTAGTTATTATTTAATTAGACAAAATTTGTAGGAAAATGTGGCCATTGAGAGGAGAGGTGTGTGTGTGTGTGTGTGTGTGTGTGTGTGTTGTTTTTGTGCTACTTGACAGTAAACCTAAGGCCTCATGTATGCTATGTTAAATGATTTGCTGTGGTGCTCTTGTCCTCAGCTTCAGTTTTTATTATTTGAAGAATCCTTGTCTTGAGATACAGAATTGAGAGAAGCTCTTACCAAGAATTAGAGGAGAGAGCGTTGAGGGGGGTGGTTCAAGAGATAAAGCACTTATGTAGAAAGTGCAATGCCTTGAGATCAAATCCTAAAAGAGATTGCAGGACCTAGCACCTTTATGGTCATTTGAGAGACAAGATATAGCTAGACTCCAAGCTTTATTTCTGCACAGCTTCTTGCTTAAAGTTCAACATGTCCATGTTTGTGCTGTCACGTTTACACTGTTGGGCACCTTTGTCTGGAAATGTACTTTTCAATGTTCTTAACTCAGGGTCATGATACATACAAAATCTTCCCCAGTAGCAGGTACCCAGAGCCTCAGGAGTACATGGGGGAGACAAAGCTGTGCTCAGCTGCCCTTCCTGTGGCAATTTCCTATGGGCATCTCCCTCTGTTCTCTCACCCACAGGCGGGGGTGTCCCAGGCTCTAGCATGGCTGGTCTGAACAAGGCCCTAGGTTTAATCTCAGCCACTGCTTTTCCCTTAAGCAGAGCATTTCTCAGTCCAGGAAATTCCTGAACCTGCAAGGATCTCACAAGGTGATTCTAAAATTATCATTCATTCACTTGAAGGTGAAAAATATATGCCCCATTGAACAGGACAGGGAAGCGAAGTGAAGTTGGGAACATCTCCCATAGCCTGCTATCGGTCTCTCACAGTCGCTCGCCCACTGCCCAGAGCTCACCCACGCTTCTGCTCTATGTATGGGTAGAGGCTACACACATGCCCAACCATACAAACACACCAGGTGAACACCAATTCGGTCTTACTGCACACAGCAGGAGAATCTGGAGGTCAATGAGTCAGCCGCTCCACCCTTGCAAGGTGGTAAAGGCTACCAGAGCACAACCCTGTGTATTAGTGTGTCTCCACTTAGCACCTGAGTCCCAGCCACTACCCCTGGCCCAAAACAGAAGGCGCTGTATATCCATAGACCATTAGTGATGACACCTCCCTTAAAGAATTAGATGACTTTAGAAAGAAATTAACCACTGGGTCTTAGAGGAGAGTGGCTAGAGATGTGTGCCTTCATATGTCTGTGATACAGTTCTTGAACCAAACTCAAAAGCTCCTCAGGAGGCTGAGATGGGAAAGATCACTGTTCAAAGCCAACTCAAGCAGAAAAGTTTGAGAGATCCTGTCTCCAAAAGAGCCAGCCAAAGGCAGGATTGGAGACATGACTCAAGTAGTAGAGTACCAATCTAGCATGTGCGCGCGCGCTCACACGCGCACACACATACACAAAGCTGAGTTAATGTGAGGCTGAGTTCAAACTGTAGTTCTTGGATGGTGGTAGAGGGAGCCTTTGATACTGGAGTGGTGAAATGTGGGGAAAGCAGAAATCAAGCTAGTAGGTAACAGTTGCCCAATACCCCATGCAATACGACTGGATTCAGAAGCTCAAGACTTTCATAG